TTTATTTGGTCCACCTCCATATTCGTGTCTATTTTGTCCACAGCCGTCTTTTTCGTCACCAATTTTGTTCACAATTGCTTTTGTCCCCCACCGCTGTTTCCACCTCCGTCTCTGTTTTTGTCCACAACCGCCGACACCGTCTTTGTCCACAATTTTCATCGCGGTCTTTGACCACCACTATTAGAGAGAGAGAGTAGTCATTTTACTTTTTGTGAATAGTGATTTATGGAGGGTTTTTGATATAATGGCATTTTTGAATATTTTTTTACATAAATGGCAATTTTCTCTTTAATCATTTCTTTTACAAATACTTTAGTTCTAAATGCCATCTAATAATGTACATTCATTTCTTACTAGTAAATTTGAACCACCATTCTTGTAATATCTTACTTTAAAGTGTTCATTTCATTTGTTTTTCTATTCAAATTTGTATTGTACAATCTAAAAATAAGGAACAAAAAAAAAATACAAGTTCAATTCTCTTCAATGTTGTAGATTATTGGTTTTTTTTTGTGTGTAGATTTTTCTATCAAATTAAAATTTATAATCATTCTACTTTGGTTTTTCAATAAGATTTAGTTTTGGTTCAGATTAGATCAATTTGATTTAACTATATTAATGGCTATATTACCTACAAAAGGTTGATGAAGAAGTATTCATATAAAATTTCTGCTATTGCTTACACAATATACTTACAAATCAGAAAGCATGTGAATGAGAGAGAGAGCTAACATGGAAGATCTTACATATACAAACATCAAATCTACCTTGCTTCTGACAAAACCCATTCTTCTTTTTCCATCTTCATCTTGTTACAAAGGAAAAATCAAATTTTACAATCTCAGATTCCATTTGCTTCAAAGAGTAGAGTGGTAATTAATCAAGAATTACTACTATGAATGATATACCTCATAGGGTTTCAAGCTTGGCTTCCTTCTGGCAATGTGATCAACCGAGAACCCGAGTCGTACTCCATCGCGGTTCCACAGCTAAAACCGCAAAAAACCAAGAGATGATCAAAGATATAAGTACTGTTAAATGTTTAGCTTTTGAAACCAGATCTAAAGACTACATTTACAATCTTACTTAGAGCATTTGACATTGTTGGTTTTGCCGCCGCTAGAAATTGATAGAATTGTTCCAAAGAAGGAGGTATTCTCCGTTCCACAATTCGGACAAGGACCCTGTGAAACAAGAACATTTCATAAAAGGACTCTAGTTGCTTTTCTTTGGAGAATCTGAGTGATGGTATTTACCTTCAAGATCAAGAAGTCTTTGATGATCAGTTTGGTGATGGATAGAGCCAGATATACAATCAAAGGCACGGCAGCGAACCACGTGAATATGAAACTGAATGGTTCCGGAAGCTCCAAGATGTATGTGATCTCAAAACCTGTAATGTCGTCGAGGAAGAAAAATCTGCAAGTACATAATTTAAAGAAAACATGCAAGCAAAGTAAAAACCGGATTTTAAATGATTTGAATGTTCGAAAGAAGAGAGGTAGAGAATCGGTTGTAGAGACTCACAGTCCAAGAGCGACAACGGTTGCTGGAACATTCAACAATAACATTTTGAAATAATCTACAGCAAGATCACTATACACCTGCATTTAAAGAAGTTCACAAGACTGTATATTAATATCTTTCTACGGTCTAAACCTGAAGAATGAATCTTATGTTATGTTTACCTTTTTACTTCGGAGACTGCATCTTGGACCCTCACACACAATTTCACTACCATCCATCTATTGGAAACAGAAATAATCATAAAATTGGAGATTTAAAGGAAACAATCTTAGGATATGTCTATTTTGACTGAAGCATAAGGGGAATGGGACCTTTAGTTTCAATTTCAGCTTATCATACTCTTCATCGTTCAGGATCGGATTTCCGGAAGCAAAAGCCATCGAAGCTTCCAAGAACCTTTGCTCATCAGAACCTGCGTTCATCAAAACCAATTAAAGATCAGAACATTACACCTAACAAGCCCAAGCAAAGATATGAAAAATGTAAATATAGAAATCATTACTTAGCATCACAACACTGCTTCCTTCCCACATCAACTCTTCTTTAAGGTTATCAAACTCTTCATTCGACATGATCGCTTTGCCATCGTAATAGAAAGACTGCAAAACAAAAAAAAAGTAGAAAATCAAATACTCTCAGGCTCTTGAACATTGAATGTATTCATGTCTAAAAACCTATATAAAAAGGATGGTTTTAACGGGTTTCTTTGTCGCGTTACTTGCATCGCTTGGAGAAACTCTTGTTCCATTTCGCCAATTGTTTTCTTTTCAGCCTTGTTGATGCTACAGTAAGGCAGAACATTGCTATCAATGTCGTCTCCTCCAACTTGACCTGAAAGGAATACAAAAAGAACTCAAATTGAGAACTTAAAAGAGCAAATATAAAGTTGATACCTTTACAATTTCCCTAAACCCTAAACCTCGAAAGAAAGTCATATACAAAATGCTAAACCGAATTGAACCAATCAAAGCCTTGAAGAATGCGTAATCTCATCATCAAGCGTTGAAATTACAATACTTTAGTGACTAAAAACTTCGATTAATCATTACTTTCAGACCCAAAGACATGAAATCTCCAAAATCTACCCTAAATTCTAAAAGGATCCAACTTTGTAGGAATGAGTTCGAAATCGAGACATAGGAGGCAAAATCAAGACCTGATTGTTCTGTGGTGGCTTTTGCAGGCAGTAAAAAGAATTTTTTTTTGATGGAGATCGATCTTCCATTGCTGAGCTGAGACAATTGTGTCCTCGAAGACGACGACGACGGAGGAGAAGGAGAGAAACAAGTGGTGGGTTTGCGAGAAACGGCGGAGAAAAGTCGAGGGCTTGACAAAGCAAAAGCCATCTTGCTACTCATTTTTTTTTTCCGGTGAGAAAAAAAAAGGAGTTACTTACTTTTTCCTCTGGTTTCCGGGAAAATTCTCAGGAACCTGTGGTTGAAGATTGTGTTGGTTACTGTGAGCTTCAAGTTTGTTGTGATTTTGGAGTTTTTTTAATTATCAATTTATTAATTAAAATGTTTTTATTTGGAGGGAAAAAATCAGGAGATAAGAGAGGTGTGGAGATGAATTCCTATCTCTTGATATTTTTCTCCCAAAGACAATCTCCACGTCAGCATTAAATCTTCTTTTTAATATTACAAATTTCATTTTAAGAAAATAAAAATGAAAATTCTATATATATATATTTTTTTTTGTCGTCCAATAACTTTATTTCAACTACAAATGTTTACATTGGCCATTTTACAACATAACTTGAGAATACACTCTACCTTGCTTAGCTAGTTGATCGATTTGGCTATTAGCCTCACGTGAAATATGAAGAAAAGTGAAATTACAAAGACGAGCTATGTTAATAATAACATGCAGCTGCACTACGTATGGGAGATTTGCTACATGTGGATGTGACATAGTCATAGTAAAATCTTGCAATAATTCATAAAGTTTTTTCAAATCCCCGCAAAACGTAACATTTCGATAGCCTAGCCTATGCAACTCCACGACCGCCATTCTCAAAGCTTCAACTTCACCATGAGCCGATGATTGTGTAGGTTGGAAAGATCATGAACCAAAACGAAGTGGTTGTGCACTACGATTAAAGAATCCATCCAATGCCCAAATTATGATTCTGAGAAAGCCATGGTGCATCAACTAAATAACAATTTTGTTGGACTTGCTCAAAAACTTGAGATAAACTTCTAGGAGTAATCCGAGAAGGGGGCCGTATTGAACCTGATATAGTTGCTTGTGACTGATCATGTTGATTCGACTCCAATGCTTCAAGCCACAAATTGCACTCCTGCACAACTTTATTAATAACTGATGGAATAGGCCACCTCTTACTATTGAAGATTATCTCATTTCTTTGTTTCCATATTCTCCATCCTAAAAAATGCACTAATAGCTTGTGCTCATTGGATTCCTGATTTGCAGATAAAAAACCAGCATAATTTTCTGGCAATAAGTTAGAAAACATAGAATCCTGATCCAATCCATTTACCGGAACAAGTTCTCAAATTTCTTTAGCAACCCGGCATTGAAACAACATATGATTAATTGATTCTTCCCTTTCACCACATAGAGAGCAAGTACTATCTGTAATAATCTTTCTTTGCTTAAGCCTAGAAGCTACTGGCAAAACATCATGTAAAGCTCTAGATCTCCACCAAAAATGTTATATTTTAGGAGGGAGTTGATGCTTCCACAAAGATTTAAACATAAAAATTGGAACAGTGGAAGACTGACCTTGCTTAGCTCTGAGAAAGTTATAACTAGATTTGACTATGTAGCACCCATGAGCTGTATGAAGCCATGTGATCTTGTCTTGCCCTCCTGTACATGACGACCATAGTTGTTTAATCAGTGGGATATCTGTTGGACGGATCAAATAATTTAACTTTGCTTCATCCCATACAGTTGTGCCATTCAAGAACAGATCTTTTATCTTGAGTTCAGGATTGATATTAGGTCCTACAGAATTCGGTGCAACAGCTGAATTTGTAGGCAACCATTGATCTCTCCAAACATACACCTTCTCCCCATTGCCAATGCTCCATTTAATCTCTTGTTTCAACAACTTATTGCCTTGAAGTATGCTTCTCCAAGCATAACTTGAGGCCCATTTTTGTTTGGCCTCCAGCAATGTTGTCTTTGGATAATATTTAGCTTTGTAGACTCTGGCTAATAAGGATGTTGGCTGTTGAAGAAGCTTCCAACTCTGTTTTGCTAACATGGCAATATGAAAGTCTCTAAAATCTCTGATCCCAAGTCCCCCGAGCTGCTTGGACTTTGTTACTTTGTCCCAAGAAAGCCAACTGATCGTTGTTTTGTCTTGTTGATAAGACCAAAAGAATTTCCGCATAACAGCTGTTAGTCTCTCCAATAATTTCCTT